GGGGGGGGGAACAGAGTTGTAACTATACAGGCCCTCTTCAGTTTTACAAGTAAGTACATGCCTCCCACCCACCCTCACATGTTCATTTATCCCAAAAGAATTTGAAATGCAGTACACTGCCTCATTTTTCTGTTTATCTGTTACAAAGAATATCTAGATTCACTCAGTGAAGGAAAACTTGAATTATGAGTGATTTGGATAATAGATATGCATTAGAGTCAAAGTGGCATAGTGGTTTGGGTGTTGGACTATGAATCTGGCGACCAGGGTTTGATTCTCTGCTAGACCATGAAACCCACTCATGATAGGTTCACCTTAGGGTTGCCATAAGTTGGAAATGACTGGAAGGCACACAACACACACACAATAGATAGGCACAATATAAAAGTATGCATGCACACCTAAATTTTAAAATAAAGGAGTCATTCTAGGGAACGTTAGTCAATATATTTCAAAATATAGTTCTACCACTGAATGGTAAAGGCCTGTTGGTGGCTGCCCTTTTATGACCATTGTGCAAGGCATTATTCAGTAGCTCCCTGCACAATGACCCTCACTCTACAGACCTGTTGAAAAGACAGGAATGGACTTCCTTGGCCATTTGTGGCCAAGGGAGAATATGGGGCACCATTTGGTTAAAGCAGGAAAACGGGCAGCCAACACCTAGTTGGATTTGCAGCGTACTCACTGGCAAGGGAACAGCTGCTGTTTCCTCTCAACTACAGAAAACAGCCAAGATGGTTCCTGAGCATGTGCACTTTTCTCCAGTCCCTAAATGTCCAAGGTAGTGTATGCCTGTCTTTTCAAGAGGCTTGCATGCTAAGTTAAGCATACTGTTTGAGCATTAAGCTGTGACCCATGTATTGCAGGATCTGAGGCATAGAAACTAGAGCATATCCCATGGTCACTATACTGTTGAAATATACTGAAATAAGTATGTCTTGGACTTTAAAAACGGAAGTGTAGTATTGAGAAATTCATTATAATAGCACTGATAGAACAGCAGTGAGTATGCCTCCTTTGCGATTGCACTCCTTTAAAATATTTTTATCCAGTCAGCAACTGCAATGACTGCCTAGACTGCAAAAGAGAGAGACAGAAGGCATCTGCATTTTTCAATAAAGTGGGTTTAAAAATATGCCCAGCTGTGTTGTGAAGTAGAATAACGTATGAAGAAGGGGGGTGGGGGGGTTCTTGAGAGTGTCTTTGTCACAGGTATATACATTATGAGCTTTCCTTTAGTGAATACCTCAGCAAAATCTGTTTCCTTGTGTATATAATATGAGACACTTACTTCAGTTATAAGATTTTGCTTAGTTATCTCCTTGATGGCTTGTAAATTTTAATATAGTACCCCTTTTTGTTCTGAATCATGCAGAAACTATAAACGGAGAGGACATAGAAATTGGCACCCTTTTCCCCCTTCACATGTGATAATGGTAAGGCACATTTGTAGGCCAGTGGGCTTCACAGAAAAAGAATTTTTTCTCAGGCCCTTTTTCAAAGTGAATGGTTTGCCTTCCTAGAACAATGTGCATCCGCACAAAGAGATCATCATCATCTTTGTTTCCTGCCTTTCTCCCCCAAACTTGGAAAAATCCAATGTAGTTTAAATATGCAGTCCAATGGTAGCATGAAATTAAATTATTAATAACATTACAAATAAATATACAATCAAAAACAAGAGATGTTCGGATACACTACAGTTAAAAGCAGTACATTACCCCATTAAAAAGCCTTTCTTTAAAAACATTCAGTTCTCAAAACCTTTTGGAATAATAAAAATAAAATCCCTTTTTTTCCTGCCAACTGAAGGCAAGAAGGAGGTGTTATTCTATCCTCCCAAAGAAGGGAGCTCCAGAAGCTAGGAGAAACCAACAGTGTGTCAGAGATGTAACATAGATGATGCAAAAGATTTAGCCACTCAGAAAGCACTGCTAAAAGTTAGATTGCTATGTTCTTTAGGATGAAGCAGGACTCCATCATTTTGAACCCTGATACTGAATAGCACACAGAACATTTAAAACTATTGTGATTGACCTTATCTTTTTTGTATATGCATCTGAGTTGCACACAGTGTATTAGGGCCTCGGCAGACGGCTTAAAAAGCCATCCTGGAGGCAGGGAAGAGGAGGGGCAGCTGCACGCTCAGTGCCCCTTCCTCCTCCCGAGGTTGCCCTCGGAGCCGCCAGCCCTCCACACGGCCGGCGCTCCGAGGGCAACCTCCCACTGCAGCGTCCGGACACGCTGCGGTGGAAAAGTCAGTGAAAGTGCACCGCAAGCTTTTGCAGCGCACTTTCACTGACTTGTGAAAGGAGCGCTATTTTAGCGCTCCTTTCAGGGACGGGGAAGGTGCGCCACAGGATCGAGGTGTGGGGATGTCTCAGTCCCGTGGCGCACCTTCCCAGGGCGGCCCCGTGCCGCCAGTCTGCTTCCCCCCTTAGTCACCAGGACTGAGCCTAGCAATAGGCAAACTGAGGCAGCTGCCTCAACCAGCAAATTGTAGAGAAGAAACTATTGCCAAACCAGTTGGCTTTTGTAAATGGAAGGGAAGATGGAGCCATTTTGTCATTCATGTCAAGCAGCACATGTTTTGAACCAGTCCTTTTAATTAGTTTTCAATCCTTCCTTTCTAGCTTACTTCCATTAGTATGCATTATTTGATATAGAAATGGGCAGAAAGTGGCACTTTAATGCTACTTGAAGATTCAGTAATATTTGAAATTTCCATTTCTGTTTTATACCTCAATACAGATGTGTCTGTTTTCCAGAAACAGGTCAATCACAATAAGTGACAGAAGCATAAGGAAGAGATTTTCATATCATATTTTACATAAAATGTGGAATGCTGCCATCAAATAAAGGCAGCATAAACAGAGGAAAAAACACCTGGAGTTGAAATAGAATCGTATTTCTAATTTACTTCCAACTCAGTGTCGAAAATTTCAGAGTTGCTTTAATGGTGATTCTCCTAGAGGACTTTGGCTGATGCACACACGTCTGGCAGAAAAAAAGGTTTTAAAATATGATCTCATGGTTGAATCCTAAGCAGCTCTTGGTCACTTTTCCAAAAGACTGCCACCCAGAGTCAGTCTTTCAAAATGGACAGCATATCCATTTTCTAGGCCTCATCTTGGAATGCCCTTAAAACTTCATATTTTGCTTATGCTGGAAGGTCAACAGTTCCAATATAACTGTACCTATGTGTGAAGAAGTTCCAATATAACTGTACCTATGTGTGAAGAACTGGAGCCATGAAGAGCCTTTGGTTGTGGATTGTAGATATTAGCTCTATGTCTTGTATCTTAAAATTATAGTAAAATGGTATTTAATAAAATAGTAATGAAAATTAATTATACATTGGGAGGCCCATTTATAGATTTCAGAAATAGAGCTTTAACCATAGTACCATTAACAATGTGATTATCAGATAAATGGACTTTTTTTAAAAAATGAGGTAAGGTTGGGCTCATAAGCACCAGCAATATGATATGTAGTAAGATCCATTGTGGCATAGTGGTTTGAGCGTTGAACTAGGAGTTTGGGATTTGATTCCCTCGCTCAGCCTTGGAAACCCACTGGGTGACTGTGAGCAAGTCACACACTCTTAGCCCCAGAAAACCATGTGCTACATTCATGTTAGGATCACCATAAATAAAAAATGACTTGAAGGCATAAAAGAACAGCAATAAGTTCTGCACCAGTTACAGTCACAGTTATTCTTTCCCTCCCTAGTGTTGCAGTTAGTGTTGAGGAAGAAGCCCTCCATTGGTTTCAGTTTCGACTCAAATTAGAACTAAGGAGGAAAGTCTTAAATCTCCTTTGGCTTCATGCTTGGAACCATTATTGTTGCTGCTGCCCTAACAGTGATATTTAATTTTTAAAGCATCTGATGTAATAGACTTTGTCTAGAAGAGTTTATGCTACGAACCTCTTTCTTCCAGATAGTCTCAAAGGTGCTATAAGATTCCTTTCTATACCTTTATTTTGGCTGTGGTGGGAAATGGGGGACAGTCTAGAACAGGAATGGGCAAAGTGCAGCTTTTGGGCTACATGCACTCCAGAAGGCTGTTTTTATTACCTTTGAGCCCTCCAAACGCCTTGGGATACCCTTTTCTTGATCAAGAGAATGAATGAACTGCCTCTCCTGGAAGGCTCCAGAAGCCATAATTTACCCTTTTCATCAATAGATTGCAGCCTCCCTTGTCCCCCTGCCCCTTTTTATTATTTAAAAACAACAACACAGAATTGCATGTCCAACTGCTCCTGATTCATGGGTTTTTTAAAAAACTTAACAATTTTGATGGCCCTCAGAGGTTTTTCCAGACTTTCACTAGTTGCCTACCATCCAGAGATGCAAAACTGCTATTACTCTATGGGTTCTTTCAAACAGGGAAAATGTGTTGGGAGTTGGCAGCATTTGTTGCTGTATTTACTTTATTTATTTAGATAGTGGAGGAGGTCTTTAAGCAGAGGCTCCTAACTTGGAGGTCTTTAAGCAGAGGCTGGATGGCCATCTGTCGGGGATGCTTTGATTGGGAGTTCCTGCATTATTATTATTATTATTATTATTATTATTATTATTATTATCATCATCATCATCATTATGTATTTATACCCCGCTTTTCAGCCAAAAGGCTATCAGAGCAGCTGGCAGGGGGTTGGACTGGATGGCCCTTGTGGTCTTTTGCAACTCTATGATTCTATGATCTAGAGGAAGTTTTACTGGTTAGAAGGAATTTTGATTTCTCCCTGCTTTTTCAAGTTTATTTTTTTCTTTTTGCACTCATCCTCTATCTTAGGTTTTCATGTAGTCATAGATCATGACAAAGTTTACAACAAGGGCTTTGACAGATGAATTAGTACCCTGGATCTGAACTTTACATCATGGTTGCCATTGGCTGTCCTGCTTGTATCCTTGTGGAATTATCTATTGGCTCTACACACAGTTTCTTGCTTAGTCTCCATTGCCCATCTGATTGGCAGTGGGCAAAAAGCAACTTGTGTTCAGAGCTATAAGTTCACTTTTTGGAAGGCTGCTTTCTGGCAAACTCTTCACACTGATCTTCTGTTGGGTTTTCAGCCACTGGGAATTTTGGAGGGAGAGAGTTCCAGGGAAATGTTTACACAGGTTAAATTTTTTGCTTCCTGTTCAGTTTGATTACTGTTGTGGAGAGGTTTAGCTCCGGGCTGTTGAGCCTCTGAGGGTTGTGAAAGGGATGTAAAGACAAGAACAACAGATGGCTGCCTGATCTGGAAAACTCAAATAGTAACTTGTTTGTCATTCT